ATCGGAAACGACAAGCTCGGGATCAACCACCTTCCCGTCGACAATCTTATGATACGGCCCAATCCCTTCCACGATCAACGCGGCGCCGAGGTTGACGACTTGGATCTGCGCAACGGTGCTCTTGAAACCAACCTCGACAGCGTCCAGGCAATCGCCTTCCAACACCCGAATCCGGGCGACCAAATCAGCACGCGTGATCATCCGTCGATCTTCCTCAGTCTCGTCCTTGGCCGGACGAAGTGCGCTGTCCAGGACTTCCATGCGAACTTTCAGCGCCTGCACTTCGGCCACAGCCGCCCCCAGCTTCTCTTCCACCGAGGTCACCTTCTCCTCAGCACCCTCCGCTCGCTTGCGCTGGTCGACAACGTCTTTCTGACTCTTCTCCAGCTCCTCGTTAAGTTTGGCCAGGCACGACTGCATGAAGGTAAGGTCCCCCTGCAATTTGGACAGCTCAACAGCAGAGCAACCCTCCTCGTTCAGGACTAGGGCCGTATCATCGCGGCCAAATCCTCCGCCAGGATGCGTCGACGAGACTCCCAATCGGCTTCACGGACAACCTTCACTTCCCCAGCAGAGACGGTAGGAGACCAGGCCCCGTGAAAATAGCCCGGATGTTGGTGGCACGGCAGAACGACGTAGCCCTCCTCGGCCGAGCCAGTCGTCAGGTCAATCAAGCCGTTGGGCTCCTCGGATCTCGGCCTCTTCGCAGCTCCCTGAGACGTAGGAGACTGGCTCTCCTGGGGGAAGAAGACGAACTCTGGCCTCCCGGTGTCACGACCTCCTGCCCGACCAGCTGACTCACCCGCGTCTTCGGGACCGCGGCGGCCCTTGAGGCGCGCAGCTTCTTCACCCGCTCCTCGGCGGAAGACATATTCGCTGCAAAAACAAACAGAAAGAGTCAGCAACGGACAAAACATACGATCACGAAAAAGAAGAAACATCCCTACCTAGATATTCCAGAGCGTCCACCCCCGTGGCACAACCGAGCAGGGTCCTCGTATTAATCAGCCTTTTCTTCGTCCGCACGTTCCCCTGCGCATCGAGGATGTACCGACTGTCGGGCGTTACTAGTTTCGACGGAGGAAGATCCCGCACAAAGGCCACTATTTTCATATAGGCGGCCATGTCCCTCTCATCGAGAGTCCCAGCCCGCAAGATGTACCGATCAGTACCACGGTTGAAGTGCTCTGAGGTCCACAGTAAATGTACCTTGGGGAGCCACGCAAGGAACCGCTGGCCGTCCACCATTCGCTCTCCCTCGGTAAAAAGAGTATCCGAGCCTTCCTGGGTGATCGGTTTCACGAGGAAGAACTGACCCTTGAAATCTCAGACAGAGTCGCTGTACGTCTTGAAGAGCTTGGTCGGCTGCTTAAACGAGACCCATCCCTGACGGCCATTCACCGACTGGCGTTGCAGGTGGAAGATGCGAAAAAAAAAGGGCACCGTGGCCTCCACCTCGAGATAATGGCGCACCACCTCGAACGCGCGGATAAAGGCCAGAGCGTTAGGATGCAGCTGGGACGGGGCCAAACGTAACCAGTCGAAAAGGCCTAAGTGGAAAGCGGAGAACGACAATCTGAGCCGGGCCTCTTTGAAGTAGAACTCGTGCATGGGAAATATCCACCGCCCATATATCGAGCAGATACGATGATGCTCCTTCGGGCGATACACCTGCCAGTGTTGCGGCTCTCCTTCCGCCGTATCTTCCACGGTAGCGTAGACATCGGACACGTCGAGCACGAAGCAAGAAGGGGTGGACAACGGCTCTTCGGCCACCCACTCTTCGACGGGGAGGACCTGCTCGTCGAAATCCGGGACCTTGGGATCATTGTCTTCGACCATCGTCCCCGATATCAAGGTCGACATGTACACTTGAAAAGCAGAGGACAATGGTGAATTCGATAGCCGAAATCAAATCCACCCTTCCACCGCAGGTCAAGTGAAAGGGCGACAACGACGGGAGAACGACAAGCGCGCGGGCAGCCCCTGAGGGACGCTCCCTGCCGCCCCTCCACAGGGCGCTCAAAGGCTAACCTATCACCCCTCCCCGGGGTACTCATCGGAAAAGGCACGCGTTCCCGGGGCATTCATCGGGGTAAACACCCGTCCCTGGGGCATTCATCGGAACAACCAAACCTCCCCGGGGCATTCATCCAAACTAACCTAAAAAACCACCAGACACGGCAGAACGCGCGTCTCTCCTCGGGGCACTCATCGCGCCCCGACCACAGACCCTAATTAAACGGCGGAAATAAAAGGAGAAGAGAGGGAAACTCACTTGTGACGGCGGTGAACAGGATGAAGAACTGACGGCGCGGCGGCGATTCACAACAACGGCGGACGGGGAAGAATCACAGAGTTTCACAGGTAAGACAGCAAGATGAAAAGTAAAAAAATGAGTGGGGACCCCCGCATTTATAACCCGACGCGGAACTCGAAGCGACACTAGGCTTTTGAGTGTCCTAGGGTAGCCGCCCTACTACCCACTCGGCGTGCGACACGTGGCGTAACCTGACGGTCGCGCCCTTTCATATGCCTTCGACCCGCTCTCTCGACGACAAGAAGGCCTCTGCGCGTGCCCGCATCCCACCGGACACATGATCGACGGGCCACCCGCCTCGCCACCTCTTTTCCCGAAGTAACGACCTTAAGTCCTCGCTCTTCCGCCACAAAGCTTCAACTTGGGGGGCTCCTGTTCTGGCCTGGGCCCAGCCCAATAACGCACAAGGCCCAAAGAGGGTAATAGCTTGACCGGGCACACTCCCCATTAGGACGGGCGGGACACGCTCTCCGCCAAGCGGAGCGGCACGTCTCGAAGCGTCTTCGGCGCCCCCTGTTGGCCGAACGGAGGGCCCTCCGCGGACGACACTCCCCGTGCCATCGGGCAAGAACCCTTGGTTCTCCAACGTCCTCGCGTGCCCCCCTCCGCGGGCAGAACTCGCTCCCCTGTCAGGCAGGACTACGTGTCTTTCGCACGTTCTCCACGTGCTCCCCTCCGCGGGGACACGTCATCCCCAACTGCCCACCTCCGAAAGAGCAGGTCAAACCCACTTTCCGGAGATCTCGGGGCGGTTGGACTAGGGCGAAGACCACGTTCTGGCCTTCACTACGCCACGTAAGCCCTAGCAGTCGTTAGGGTTGGGCCTGGTCATCCAGCCCACCCCAATTGACCGTTGGCCCAGCGCTGGGGTCTCTCTATAAATACCCTCTTCCACAAAAGGGTCAGGTAATTCACTTCTTACCCCATTTCTGTACTTTGCTCTCGCTCTGCCCAATTCCTTACTTTGGCATCGAAGTGTTTTGCAGGTACACCCCCCTTTTTTCTCCTCACCACCGGTGAACAGGTAGCAGTCCAACAGCGTGTGGTCAGCCTGTGATTCCCTTCTGATCAGATCAGATCATTACTCTTACCCCTAATTTTGTGTAAACAATGATGAATTTGCAAATAAATAAGAAGTATTTGCTAATGAACTAAAAAACATTCATTCTTATAATTAAAATAAAACAAAAATAGAACATCTAGAAACAATATATATATATATATATATATATATATATATATATATATATATATATATATATATATATATATATATATATATATATATATATATATATATATATATATATATATATATATATATATATATATATATATATATATATATATATATATATATATATATATATATATATATATATATATATATATATATATATATATATATATAATCTTAGTCAATAGACCAATATCGATACGAGTTTACGAGATATGTTAGTAGAAAAATGCTTGGTTAAAGCATGATCGTCTCAACCCGTACGATAGTACTTAACAATGTAAAAAGAATTGTTTTTTTTTTTCAAATACATATATTGATTATAGAATAGTCTTAACAATTTCTGTAAGTGTTGCTTCTACGAACATAAGTTTTCAAAATTGAAATTTATAAAATTCTATCTAAGATCAACAACGTCTCAACTGAGATTAAATGGATTGATTTTATTATCTATTAAAAAGATTATTAAAAATCAATTATGATAATTTAATAAACGATTTTGTATCTTAAAAACTCTGAAAATAAAATAAAATAAAACTATTTATATAAAAAAAAACAATTTTATAAAGGTCAAATTCTTAAAATTCGCTTTAGGCCTTAATATTGGTTAAAACGACTCTTTGAATGACCTCTTAATAAAATAAAAAAAATAATTTTTTTTACGTATGTCGAAGCATATCCAAAAAAAAAAGAATAGAAAAAATTCAAAATCAAAACTCACAAATTTATTATTCAACTTCAAATTTTTTAAAAAACAAAACTACAATCTCTAGTTAAATTGCAATATTAAGCAGAAAATCACAAATCCTCCAAAATGTAATCTTAAATGAAAAATTACAAACTCTTTCTCAATTAAAAATTTTAAATTGTATTCTAACAACAATATTATATCCTCATAACAATATTATCATTTTACTTAACTATTTGTATTCTAATTATCATATGTAATCTATAATAATATATAAAGAAAAAATAATAATTTGGTGTAGTCTATTTTTTAATATCTATTATGTCCTTTAACAGTTATTTTAAAACTACCAAATATATCTATTAAATAATAACCACTCATTTTTAAATTTAAGTTGTCAATTTGTTTAGTTTAAAATTTTTTTTTAAAAAAAGGTATTTTATGTGTGCGCTTTTAAAAAAACATATACATGAAGGAAATATATTACAAAGTTTATATTAAAAATATATATATTTATATTTTAATACGTGTGCCAATTAAAAAAAACGGACAAACGGATACGGAGTGTCTAAGAGTGTCCGTTAAACGTTAGTGAATAATAAATTAAAATTTTATTATAAAAAACAATATTTATTTTGTGACATAATAGTAATTTAAAAAAAATATTTTATGGCGAAAGTGTAACAAACTAATTTTCAAATGGTTATGGTTGTTTGATATTGGGGAAGATGGAAGAAGAATAGGAGTAGAAGAAAATGGAAGAAGAAAAAGCCGCAGCGTACTACGACGAGCTCACTCGAAAAGGCGAGGGAGCCGCAAAGTTCAAACAAGGTCTCGGCTTTTCCACCTCATCCTCAAACGACGCCGTTCCCAAACCCGGTTCAGCCCTCGCATCTTCCTCTTCCTTCCTCTCCCAGTTCGTCAAAGCCTCTTCCTCATCCACCCCTATCAACCCACCCGAGCCCGATAGAAAAGCCCAGCTCCAATCTATTCAAAACAAACTCAAGAAAAAACCTACCACCGAATCTAGGATTTCGGAGAAACCAAATCACGGTTATTCTTCTTCCAGAGATAGCGATAGAAGAAAAAGACGAAGCAGGAGTAGGAGTAGGAGCGGAGATAGGTATAGGGAAAGAGGTAGGGATAGGGATTCAAGGAGAAGAAGTAGGAGTAGAGAGAGATACAATGGTTATAGAGATCGTGATAGAAGCCGAAGCAGAAGCGGTTCGGATGGTGATAGGAGTAGAGATAGGAGGAAAAGGGAGAGAGAAAGAGAAAGAGAAAGAGAAAGAGAGAGAGGGAGAAGGAGGAGTAGAAGTGTCTCTCCTCGTAAACAACGTGGGTCTGAGGTGAGAACGAATGATGTTAGGGAAAGAGGGAAAGTGAGTGGAATGTTGAAGGGGAAGAATGTTGGGGTTGATTATGGGAAGCTAATTGAAGGTTATGATAATATGGTAATTAAAAGCTTCTTAATTTTATTGTTATGTTTTTTTTTCTTTCTTTTTGGGTTAGTTTGGTTGATTGAGATGTTGTATTTGAGTTTCAAGTGTTGTGTATGGGTTATGTTTATGAGTGTTTTTGATTGTTAATAGGCACCTGCTGAAAGAGTCAAAGCCAAGATGAAGCTTCAGCTTTCTGAAACTGGTAAAAGATTTGCTGTTTTGAACTTGTTTAACAATCATTTTCAAATTTCCAGAACTTGATGTGCGAGTCCACTGTGAAAACTGGTTTTTGGTTTGAATTGTCTCACTGTTTGATCGTTTTGTGTAAGAAACTGGGTTAGGTTGCTACTGTCTTGTCATATATATGAGGATAGGGTATTATTGAAAAAATCAAAATATTTTATACTCTGAAGTGTGCTTAGAAAGTAGTTGCCTCCTAGCTTAGCAAATGATATAGTTTATCCAGATTGTGTTAATTATCTTTTATCTGATCTTTCAACTGCAGCTGCACGGGATACAGAAAGAGGTGTGGGCTGGGAGCGTTTTGAGTTCAACAAGGATGCGCCTCTTGATGATGAGGAAATTGAAGGTCTGATTTTTTTATGATATTGTTTATGAATGTTATGAACATAAATATATTTGTGGGATCTGTCCCTTTTCCACTCACAATATATATTCACTTCAATGCTCTTTGATTATGATTGAACTCCTAAATTAACTAAATTCTGTATGAGGATAAAGGGGGGGGGGGGGGGGGGGGGGGGGGGGGTAACGCAAAATTGTGATGTAGTTGAGAGGATGTTATGGAGTAACGAGGCAAGAGTAGTGGTGGACTTTAATTCAGTTAGAGTCCTCGAGAGAAACTAGGCCTCTCAAGTTGCCTATATTATCTTTCTTCTCTATAGTTTTCGTTAATGCTGAATACTTGTACTGTGATATCAAGTTCTGCTATTCTCTATTAGTTACTCACCTGTTTTCCTACATTTCCATGATATAATAGAAGTTCTGTTCATTATTATTTATGGTATCTATCAAATTAAAACTTCTTTTTTGGAGCCGCAAGACAACTTGAACTTGTTTGGTTATCTGCTTGTTCTGCATTCTTGGTATAAGAGTGATTGAAATACTCTTACATCTGCTTTACATTTCTCATTTTGGTTTAGATGTTATTTTGGTCTCCTTGTTGTGCTCAAATGTTGTGCAAGTGCATGTGATCAAGAGGAAATTACTTTAATAGCTTTCTCTGTATTGAGTGCTGTAATTTTATGTTTGTCAGTGATCATTCCTACAAATGATTTGTTTTATGTTTGCATCATTGAGTGATGGTCTTTCTATTTTAGTCTATGTTGGCGCAATCGTGCGCACTGCAGAATGGCGTGGCTGGGCAGACTCCCAATGCGACGCCTTATACCTGCAAGGCACCTTCAACAGCTGCAGTGGATGCGGCTGCAAATTGCAGTAATATCACACTTTTGTTGCTGTTTTTCATTTGGGATAAGACGTTTCAGCTATAATCTTCCGTTTTCCGGCGATAGTCTTCCGTTTAATTGTGAAATTTTCTTTTTTGAGTATTTATGTTATGTATCTTGATGAATATGATGTTTACTTTGTACACTGTTTTTTAGTCTTAGCAATAGTGGCTTTCCTGCAATCCGCTATACTGCTATAGCATTTTTTAGATATTGTACTACACGCTGCTATCTGTAATTAACAACATAGAATTCTAACTATACTTGTTTGTAATGAACAATAAGTAACAGTGTCGGGTTTGGGCTGAACTGAGTGTAACACTATCTGTAATTAACAACATAGAATTCTAGCTATACTTGATTGTAATGAACAATAAGTAATATAGTGTCGGGTTTGGGCTGAACTGAGTGTAACGCGATCTGTAATTAACAACATAGAATTCTAGCTATACTTGTTTGTAATGAACAATAAGTATATAGTATCGGGTTTGGGCTGAACTGAGTGTAACGGATTGTATACTCCCACCTATCTGCAGTTGCCGAAGATGATGCATCCTTAGTCAAGCACATCGGTCAGAGTTTCCGGTTTTCCTCATTTGAGGTATCTTCCTTATCTTTTATGAGCCAATAGTCAAATAGATAATTTTATTTCCTGTTTATACGCACTCCCGCCTATGCAGACTGAATATATATATCTAAATTGAATTCATGTTCTTATGTAGTCCAAACGGGAAGAACAAATTCAAGCTGCTCATGATGAAGCTATGTTTGGTGCTACAGCTCCTCCGCCTCCCACCATCAGTACAGACAGCGAGCCTGAAAGGGAGAATGAGAAGGAGGTTGATAATAAAAAAGACCTAGTTTCAAGCCTCTTAAGTGAAACGGTGAGTGATTTGTAAACCACAACTGACATGGATACTCATAGCAACTAATTCAAATAACCCTTGTATTTGGTTTCAGGTGCTGGCCAAGCAAAAAGGGTCTTGGCGTGATCGGGTTCGTCAGACATAGAGTTTGAACCTTGAAGCTGACATGACGTGTTTGTAGAAAAATAGCACAAACGTCTAATGGTTATTGGAGCACAGTGCAACTGGAATGAGTATGCAGTTTGCTTGGTTTTTATATGTCTGAGTTGGACTTTAACTATGATACAACTTGTATATGGCTCTTGAATTATTTTAATTTTCCAAGTATATGCTTCTAGTGAGGCAGGCTGTGTACTAATGATCAGAGCTTATTATAAAAAGGGAAAATGCCTAGTACGTATAGCCTCAAGTTTGCACCATGCATAAGATGATGTGAATTTTAAGGGATGTGTCTAAAACACAGTATAAAATGGTAATGGTTCGTGAACACAACATAAAATGCTAATGGTTAATGATGGAAGAATGATGTATAATGTGGAGTTCACAACCACAATTTTCCTGGCAGATTGTTTGTTGGTCGTCTAAGGACAGACGAATCGAAACATGTTGAGAAAACATGAGGCCTTATCAAATCAACATGTCTCCAATCATTCTAAATGCAATGTCATTGACAAACATCAAGTTCAACTAATGAAATGATCTAGGTCAATTGACAACTGTTACATGTGGTGTCTGCTAGAAAATAATCAACCCGAGTCATGCATGATCTCCAAACTTGATGAAATTAAGTTATGGCATAGAAAACTTGGCCATTTAAATCTAAGAAATATGAGGAAGATTGTCTCTGAAAAGGAAAGCAGACCAAAATGTCACACAAGAAGGTTCAACATCTTACCATCTCTAAAGTTTTTGAACTACTCCACATAGATTTCATGGGACCTAAGTAGATTGAAATCCTAGGAGGAAGGATATATGTTTTTGTATGTTGATGATTTCTCAAGATACATGAGTTGAATTCTTACGTGAAAATTCAAATACTTTCATTTTCTTTGAAATTATGTAAATTAGAAGGTATAACTCATGAGTTTTTAGCCCCCACCACAAAAAAAATTGGGATAGTTGAGCGTAAGAAGAATCTTACTCTTCAAGTGATGTTTAGGGTTATGTTTCATGTTAAGAATCTTCCATATCACTTTTGGACAGAGGCAATAAGCACATCCATCCATATCCACAATCGTATAACCATTCGACTAGGTACAAAGGTCACACATTATGAGTTGTGGAGAGGAAAAAAAGCCAAGTTTGAATTATTTTCATGTTTTTGGTAGCAAGTGCTATAATCTTGTTGATAGAGAGCAAAATTTCAAGTTGGATTCTAAAAGTGATGAAGACGTCTTCTTGGGATATTATAAAAACAATATTGTATATCGTGTTTTCAATAATCGAATAATCTACGATGGAGTCCATTAATGTAATTGTCGATGACATTGATAAGTGTCAAAGCAATTATTATAAAACCCCGATTTATCTATAAAAAATAAGAAAACATCTGTTTAAACTTTTCATGTACGCGTTAATAAAAAACATCTGAAAAGAAATAGAAAATCACGATTCAACACGTAGAAAACGGGCATAAACAAAATCCTTAAGAAGCAAGGCTTGCTAGGCCCAAGCTATAGGCGTGCTAGGCACATACAAGACCAGGTGGCATAACCAGATGCAAGTACTTCATGGTGAAACAAGGGTTAACGTGCTAGTTAAGAGGTGGTGCAGTGTTCGAGAAAAGGCGGCCAAGGACACGTGGAAGACATACAAGAGTTGCTTGCTAAAGAAGAAAAGTTGTTTGGTCAGAGTGGCAGAGTAGGGTAGGCGTGCTGAGCACAAGGATGGTGCACCCAACGAAAGCCTCATACTTTTTCCTGTAAATAGAACTTTTTAGTTTAATGCAAATGGAGCTTCGATGGATCAGAGGAGTACAAAATTGGATTAGGTTCACTCAGATCTACAATAGGAGAATAAGAAAGGAAGTCTGAAGAAGGAAGCGCTGCTCAGGTGACAGGGCATATACCACTTCCAAGGTCAACTTCTTTGGAAAGACAGATTGTTACGCTAACTATGAGTAAACGTAGATAACATTTCTATTGTTAAGAATAAACGTAGTCATTATATTCATGTACTAAACAGGTCATGAAGTTCTATATAAATGTACTAATGCTGTAATTATGGTGACTCTTTAATCTTAATACTTGTTTTAGCTTTTCAACTTAAAACCTGTTTTCATGGTGTGACCTGGTATTGAAAGGTGATTTTCATTACTAGATCCAAGATTATCATTCAAATGGAGACTTTTATCTAGTACAGAATTGGAAATTAAAACAACAAAACTTGAACTTGCAGGAATAATTAAATAACATCTACTTGAATGTAAATTTGCAGAAACAGAAACTTGAAATAATGCAGAAAATAAAGTTGCAAAAAAACCTTAGTGTGAGATATTTTTGCTTTTACAAGTGATTTTTGAGCCATGTTTGGGCCTGTTCGAAGCCATCTTCTTAATGTTATTATGTAGGAATCTAAGTCCTTACTAGAAATAATTTCTAGTGAAGCATATTGCCCTTTGTTGGGCCGAATATTTACCTTCCAGTTTTGTAAGCCCTCAAGGACTTGACAAGTTCCTCCCTTTATCTCTTTGGGAAAATAGATGGATTAAGCCATTCCTTATCTACACAATGGGTTTTTAGTCCATATGAGATTGGATATCTAATTATAACATGTATGCATGTTCTTTGCTTGCTCCCTTGTGATCTAATGTATGGTTCTTAACAGGCCCTGTATGTTATCAGATAGTGGTATTTTTAATGTTGAGATCTAATATGGAAGATTGTCTTTAAGGATGTTCGTAACATCTTGCTTGTAGTTAATTTTCCTAAAATTGGCCAAAGGTGGAATTTGGTATTACATGTGATTGGGAATATTTAGTGAGCAACATGTTAAAAAAGATGTTCTAACAAGATGAGAGACATTATATCTCGAAGTACTTCATGTTGCTAGGTATGGACTTATTCTAATGCATCAAGCAAGTCAAACAAGGCACATCAATACAGAAAAGAAAACAGACAAGAAAGCAGATCAACTCCTCTTTCAACTCCAAGCTTCAGCTCCTTAATCAGTAACAAAGTAATGTATGAAAATCTAATAATGAATACACATGTTGTAATGTAGAATTTCAATCAATAACACTTATAGAATTAACCTGACACTACCTAAACTAAGATAAATTGCATTTATAGCTTAGATCAACAATCTGCTCCCACAACAGAGTTCACTGAACCTTGAATCACCGCATATTTTAAGTAGAGTACAAAAGACATTGACTATTTGTTTTCTCTTCCTTATCATACAAAGCGAAAGCATAAGTAAGATTGATGAGTTGGGTCTTTAATGGAAGAGAGATATAAACCTGAATTATTGAGTTGCAGAGTAAGAGAGAGGGAATAAGAGCAGCTTGAGTTGTTGTAAGCATACAAAAATGAAAGGAGTTAGAGTAGTGAAAGAAATATAGGTTAAAGAAGAAGGAGTTTGAGATAAATACCTGATATTGTTGAAGACGTAATTTGAAGAAGGTGGTGAAAGCCCCGGCTGCGCTAGGGTTTGCGGAGGAAATAGAGAGAAAAGAGAAAAGTGAAATGAAGGGAGACGAGGGAGAAGGGGTAGGGTTTTTTAGTGGAAAGAGAGATCAGTACACGTGGCTGCTTGCACTAATGTGATGGGAATGGTTAAATGATAACATTACTTAATTAACAAAATATTCTTTTTATTGTGTAAATCATTTTTAGTGGAAGGGCAATTTTGGCAAAGCATACAGTTGAATAGTAATTGATAGATAGTAGATGTGGTTGTTTTTACCAAAAGAAAATGATGAATGTTGTTTATCCAGTTTCATTGCCTTACGCATGTAGCAGCTAGCTAATCCACATACAACGCCGTTTAAATCTTTATTGCTAATCCATCTATTTACCATAGCGGACGGATGGAGTGGGCGAATTCATTATTTGGGCCTGAACATTTAGCGTTGGTTTGTCTAGAATTTGTCTAAATATTTTAGTTTAAGTTTTTAATTAAATTAGTGAATAATTATTATATTAGTTTTGGATTATGATTACTATTAATTATTTGATAAATTATCTTATATTAATTAGGCAAATAAAATAAGTAATTTGGCTTTTACTATATTGTTAGCCTTTTCTTAATCCTTATCAATTATTAAAAATCCTAATTCGTTTTTTAAATACTTAACTTCCTTTTAATTAGGTTTTAATTAATTGTTTCTCAATTTTTTTAATTAAATAATGAAAGTGGTGGATTTTTGGAGTCTAGCACTCCTTGGATCCTTGAAAGATCACTCTCGAGGCACACGCCTTAGGTTGTGATCGTTTCGATCTTTCATTTCTAAAACACCTAATTAGATTAAATAATTAACCTAATCACAACACTTAACCTAAAAATATTTTCTTAACTAAATTAAAATCATAATTTATTTTAACTAATACTCCTAAATTATCTTTTTTTTTATATTGATGGTAGTGGGTTCTTGGAGTCTAGCACTCCTTGGATCCTTGAACGATCGCTCTTGGGGCGCATTGTTTGGGTTGTGTTAGTCCCGTCTTTCATTTCTAAAATACTTAATTCTCGTCAAAACCTTTAATCCATGCAAACCCTAATTCAAGTAAAACACTTAGCCTAACATTTTCAAAAGGATATTTTCTTAATTGATATTGGAGATATTGAACTCTTGAGGTCTATCACTTTTTGGGTTCTTGAAAAACCACTCTTGAGGCGTACGCCTTGAGTGGTGATCATTTCGATCTTTCGTTCCTAAAATACTCAATTCATTCAAAATACCTAATATGTCTAATCAAAATACGCAAATTGAATCCAAATTAATTTTCCTAATTACATTACGAAAGAATTGAGTTCTTGGAGTCTCGCATTCCTTGAATTCTTGAATGACCACTCTTGGGGCGCACGCCTTGGGTTGTGGGTTTCTCGACCTTTCTTTCCTAAAATACTTTCCCTAATTATGTGGACAAAGACTTTCATTGTCCTACAAACACGCGATTTCATCATTAATTGAATGAAAAAGGTATCGTTGGGATCTAAAATTCCAATAATACCCCGATTATTTGGTTGCGAGGTTGATGTCTCATTTATCGAATAGTCGTCATTCTCCCTCAAAATACTTAACAAATTCAAACTTCATTTTCTCGCTCTCGTGTGATTGAAACCCTAAAGCTTAGTTAAATCAAACTTTTTTCTCAATACAAATCTTAATACACTTTAATCTATTCAAACAACTTTTCACAAAGAACATTGTTTAGTCCCTTCTTTCGTGCATATAAACTCGTGTTTCAGTCTCCCCTAGCGAGCAGACAAGCCAATGTTTAGCAGTTAGAATGTGACCTAAACTGTCGTTTCTTTAAAAGACACGAACCAACTAACCGTAGTATTCCAAACTATGATTGTTATCACTTCCTCATTGCACCATGAGGGTACTTAGGCATAGGATTGCAAGATCCTAGCGAGCTACCTTTTTCTTTTTACCTCGAACCTTTCCCCGTAGTCCCACGAACTATGATGCTATGACTTTCCCATTGCATGAGGGAGTACGTAGGCACAAGGGCTCCAATCCTTGGCGAGCACCCTAGTATAAAACCACCCATATTCCCCTTTAAAGATAACCTTTAGAAGAAAACAAACAACCTATATAACTTTTCTCTCGAATCAAATCAAGAGGTTCCCGTTGAGTACAACGGACGTAGAGGGTGTTAATACCTTCCCTTTGCGTAATCGACTCCCGAACCTAGAATTTGGTTGCGACGACCATGCTCTTATCTCTTTAAAGGTTTTATCGATATTTTCCTATTCCTTCTTTGGAATGAATAAAGTTCGGCGGCGACTCTGTTCGAACATTTTTTTGCGTCCATCGCGAGGGTCGTATTTTTCGAGGTACGACAGATGAAGACTCTGCTGGGGACTCGCATTGCCATATTCAAGAGAGAGTCAAGCCTAACTTAACTCTATTCGAGAGTGTTAACTTCGCTTGGTTGTGTTCTTTATTTTGATTTTCTCCTATTACCTATTTACTATACTTTTTATTGCTTGTTGTTTATCATATCTGTTGTTGGATTATGGGATGATATCACAAGTAAGGCTCTATACCCGAGTCTTGGAAAAAGAAGAGAGAACATATAGTTTAGATTTGGAAGTAATAAGTGTTAGTCCCCAAGGATTTGCTCCTTGTGTGCCTAGCATGAAAGCTTCCCCTAGAGGAGACCTATTCGTAGATCTTGTTGTAAAGCAGCTAGCCTTTGCACGACTTGATTCATGAAGGGTCCGTGACTCTGGTGTAGCACCCTAAAATTTGCCCTTTGTTTTAACCTTAACTGGCTTTTGTTTCTTTGCATGTTGCATTTTTGCATATCATAGCATTTGTTCTCGAGGCATGGGATTGAGGTATTCTTGTGGCTCAGGTTCATTTCGGCGCAAAAGACTAAACAACGAACAACGAGTATAAGAGACTCTGGCATTTATTTTGCCCGACGGTCAGGCGGCCGATTTTATTTTATTTTGCAGGATAACAACAATTCAGAAAGCAGCACTCCGACTCGTGTCAAGCATTTTTACAGTGATAACGTTCAAGAACGAGATTCAGAAGCTTAACAGAGCTCCAAACAGTTGGAACAGGGCTAATGGACAAATTTCCCTCTAAAAGGCGCCAAATTCAAATTTTTGAAGGTGTTAATCAGTTAACGCATATGGTTAACCAATTAACCAAGGCAAAATCAGGCCAGATTTGAAATTTTGAAGGCGTTAATCGGTTAACGCATATGGTTAACCGATTAACCAGTGCAATTTTTGTCTCTGTACGTGATTTTTCAATGCAAAGCTATTTGGGGTCCAATTTTGATCACTTAAATTCAAATTTGTCACTTGGGAAGGATCTAGAATCATTTCATAATTTCATTTCCCTCCAAAATCTCATTCCTAGTGCCAAACCAAAATTCACAAACCAATTTCCAAGCCTCTCATTTGGATCCAAACCTAGGTGATATTTAAGTGATTCACTCCAAACCAAAAGGATCCAATCTTCATTTTGCACTCTCATTTTTCAGAATTCATCTCAATTCTCTCATTTTCTCTCAACTTTCCAATTCCAAAACCCTCATTCAAAGCTCTTTTTCATTGAATTCTTTGATTCTTCATTGGAATCAATGAATTCTTGAGCTCAAACCTCCATGAGAGGGTCAGGTATCCAATATTCACCCTGATATACTCATATTTTGTACTTGCTCTCTCTCTCTCTCTCTCTCTCTCTCTCTCTCTCTCTCTCTCTCTCTCTCTCTCTCTCTCTCTCTCTCTCTCTCTCTCTCTCTCTCTCTCTTGTATGATTCTTACTTTAGCATCAGAGTGACTTGCAGGTACACCCCCTCCTCCTCTCTCTCACACCCAGCATCACAAGTATTTGTCTCTGTCCCACTTCAGATTCTGATCAGTCGTCAAGATCAATGATCAAGTAGTAAGCGTGTATGATTGAAAAAAAAATATTAAAGATAAAGATAAGAAAATATAACCACTATTTCTTTATGAATTTTAAATAAAAAATAGTTAGTCTTTACAAATAATAAAAATGTAAATAAAAAATAAATAAAATGAAATTGAGATAAATTAATATTATGCTTTGCTTCAGTTAAACTATTGGAAGCAAGCATTAACACATAATATGTAACACGGTCTCAAATTATTCATCTATGCATACATAATATTTCAAAAAAGAAAAAACTTATTCTAACGAGCAAAATAAAAGAATATAACTTCAATGCAATTTAACATAATATTTCAAAAAAGAAAAAACTTATTCTAACGAGCAAAATAAAAGAATATAACTTCAATGCAATTTAAAACTCTTGAGATTTTATTGAATATATTCAAAGGATCTTAAATTTCCCCATAAAGAAAGGAAATAGTTATTATATCTATGAAAATTCATCTAATAGAAAAACTTAAGATTATTGATTTTATCTAGATACACTGAAACAAGAACCTCAACATCCCATGACAGCACAATTATACACAAAGCTCCCTGATTGAATTATGGCAAGCAAATTCCAATGAGGCGCACCTTCATCATCATCTACTATCCAAGCATTAATTTCTGTTACCATTCCACCTTGAAAACTAGGACCTCCAATAACAACTAGCTTATCTCCACATGATCTAAAAGCCATTCCCCATCCATTTAATGAGGTTGTTCTCTCAGGAAGGCTTCCAATAGTGACCCATAAGTTTTTATCCTTAACATATCTTTTAACTTCTTGTTGTGCATAATCAGCAGCATACAATACATTTTTTACAACTGCAATCAAAGGAGGTGCCTCCCCATTCACACCATCTCCTTCGTTTCGCGGAGGGCACATATTAGGTATTATGTGCCATTCTCTTGTATTCATATCAAACTCTTCACCACATGTTAGTTGTGTTGTTTTATCAACTCCAACCCCACCAAGGACATAGAATTTTCCATCTATAAACACAGCAGAACACATTTTTCTTGCTATGTTCATGTCTGGAAGAATCTCCCAAGTTCCAGTATCTGAATTATAAAGCTCAGAAGAGCTCATAATTTTTCCATCTTTATCAGAACCACCAGCTAATATTGCAATTTCTCCTAAACTCGCAGATCCAAACAAGCATCTAGAAGTGTTCATATTCTCTCCCTTTAACCATGAATTTGTTAAAATGCTATATTTATAAATGGCAGGACCATTTATTTCCCTTCCAAAAACAAGAAGCTCTGTACCAACTGCTAATGACTCCTTGTCTGAATGCATAAAACATACATTGGAAGTCATTCTAGGCAGTTGCATCAACCGATTACGATTTGGATCAAAGGCCTCCCATGTAGAGATATCACAAGAAAAGTAAACCCAGTGTTCAACTATGTCTAGTTTTCGCCTCAGTTGATACAATTCTCCTGTCTTAATGAGTGATCGAAAACCTCGATTTAATGCAGCAATTGATCCATAATCAGACCTTGACAATCGAAGAAGACAATGGATTGATGTATCACGACCGAGCTGACAAATAAGAAAACCTGAGTCACTTGTATGATTTTCCATATTCTCCAGTTTTCCCTTTTCCTTGATATCATCGAGAATTTCACTTGACTTTATCGACATACCTTTATATTCTTTTACTTCCCTGAGAATCAACAAAATACAATTGAAATAATTCCACTTTTATATACTTTTAATAAATATAGGGATTACTGTACATAGAAAATCATATGCATTCACAAGTAGATCATAGAAGTTAATATGAACATCTATTTGAAAATACAAGCTCATCCAAAAACAATAATCAAAATAAAAATAACAATAAGAAATGAGTTCTAAAGTCCTAAAAGTCAATATTTTTAAAAATTAAATACTCACACGCAATCCATAGTATAATTTCAAATAAGAAACAAATAATTTTCTTAAAATAACTAATTAGACAAACAAAATTCGACCAAATTATGGAGATTTGAATCCTCGGTTGTGCTTTCTCTATGGATCTTCTCCATGTATTTTTATATTCCTATCTCGTTCACCTTCATCATTTTATTCATAATTTTTATTTTCTTTTGCCACACACACAAAATTATAGTAGCATTAGGCGCATGCATACCTGAATTCATAGACGAAAACACATGATTTTCACAGTTATGAATCTCATATGCTTTTTTTTCTATTTTATTTAATTTTTCCAAAAATTACAGGGGAAAAGTAAGAAAAAACAGTCAGAGCTAAGAAAGAGATAAAAAAATTTCAAAATTCAAAACACTTTTAGTTCTCTTTTACCTTTCTTTCTCTACGAACTTCTTCATTTTGTGCGAGTGGAGAACCTTTGCAATTAATATTATTAGGTGTTGGGAATTTTTGAAAGAGCTCATGGTTTTTATGAAAACAATGGGGTTATTTATAGTAGAGAAAATAATATAAATAAATCAAATAATAACAATTTCAATTAAATGGGTGTAAACGACTGTTTTAGGGTTCAATCCTTGTCAGCAACATTTATTTATATAAATCAACAACTTTGAAAAAAATGATAATAATAAAATGGGTCATGCTAACCAGTGCCCTTGGGGCACTGATTAAGAATTTCAAATAAGAAAAATATTAGATGTTTAGTTTATTAAATACACATAAGATTCTTTAGAAAATGTTAATTATTTATGTTTTCAGTTTATTGAATACACATATTTTTAGAAAAAACATGTATTTTTAGTCTCTTAAAAAATATTCAACTTATCTTTTTAATCTCTTAACCAATGCCCTGGGGGCACTCGTTAGCATTTCCCTAATAAAATATACACCTATGACTTATTATAGCTATAACGTAAAGCCGTTGTTTAGGGAATGATTCCATGTTTGCACTTGTGTATTTAAACCCAGTGACGTTACCGTTGAATAGTTCTTATCTTTTCTAACTTTTTATTTTGTTTTTTCTTTCTTTACAATTTTTTTTTCCTTTTTCACAATGACAACCACTTTTTATTTTATTTAATATTATTAGTATTTTTCTTGAATTACTTCTACTTTTTAACACAAAAAGATTTTTTTTATTAGTTTTTAAAATGTTTTTTTACAATTCATCTAGTGACCAACTCAAATTTTAATGTATATGTGGAAAAGAGAAATATAGTAGTTTAAATTCAAAACAAAAAATTTAAAATCTAATATTTTGATATTTAAACAAAAAATTAGACTACAATAGTGAAATATTGTATTTACTTCTATATATAATTATTATTTTTATAATAATTTAGGAAACTATTTAAAAGGGGTAACTTTTTTGTTTTTTTTTCATGCTTTTTGACTAGAATTTTTTATTTACTTAAATTAGTAGAACCCATTAGAAAGTACACAAAATCAATATTGATAATATAAAATTCCATCTTAAATCATGAATTTATTGGAATTAGAAGATTAAGGGCAAAATAACATTTTTTTTACCACAAAGGGCATTTCAGTCAATTCACAATAATTAAATAACATTTTGCGTCTAATTAAGACCAATGGATGTTAAGGATATGTTAAGTATTAAGTTAAGAAGTTGTGGGAAAAAAAGGATAATATGAAATTTAAATAATGTAAGGGTATTTAAGGTATTTCACCTTAGTAAGTAAGGGCAAGTTGGTCGTTATGGGCAATGCCATAAATCGTAATATCCCATATAGTTATGAGTGCTTTAAAATTTGTCAGTTAGGACCAATAGAGTAATCAGTGAATTTTGAAGAGATCAATCTTTTTTAAAAGAGTCTGACAATTATTAATAAGTACAAGAGGAGACATTTTTGTAACATTAATAATTGATCAATTGGTATTAGGAGACAAAATATCAATTAAGATATTGTGTATTACTACTTTTTATATATATATATATATATATATTTGTGGTAGAAAAAGAAAGAAGGATAAGGGATAAGAACAAAAGGAAAAGAAGAGTTATCAGGAAAAAGGAAAGAAAGAAAGAGAAAAGGAAAAAGAGAAAGAAGAAGAGGAGAGAAGAGAAGAGAAGAGAAGAGAAGGGAGAAAACTTGGAGGAAGAATTAAAAAGCTCATGGAAGCATCATCAACACCATGATTGTATCTCATCTTCCTCACCAAACTTCATCATCTTCATCTCTAAGGTGAGTTCTTAGATAGTAATTAGCTTTTGGGGGATAGAATCTATGTTGAGGGAGTTAGGATTTGTGTGAATCTATGATGAAATTATTTTTGTTCATACTTCTCATTGATGATATGTGTTGGTACCATGTTGTTGTTGTTGAAGGTGTTGTCTTTGATTCCTTGATGCTTATGTGTTTTATTGTTGAAGTTATGAAGGTTAATCACATGAATTCATGATGGTATATGTTTTGGTATGGATTGCAATGGTTGAATATGGATTAGGAAGTGTTTCAAAGATGAATTTTTGGAGAAATGTATGAACCAATCGATTAGTTCTGAAAATTTCTGTCAAACAATCGATTGGTTGGTCTTTAAAGGAAGAATAACTGATTTTTCCCCAATAATAATCAATTGGTCTTGGATCCCAATCGATTGGTAAATTAAAATTTCTTGAAAAATCTAACAGAAAACTTCAATCCAATTGATTGGTCAATGACAACAATCGATCGGTTCCCCCGTTTTCACTCTAAAATGAGTTTCGTAACTGGGAATGAGGTATGGTTAGATGCGTTGGAAAGCTAGTTCAATGATATATTGCTTGGTAAGATAAAATCATGTTTATAAGTAAATTATCACTTGCTTGTTGGTATTACATTATTATGTATGTTTATGAATTGTTTCCCTGTTTCCACCATAAAACGGGAACGATAATTCCAATTGTTACGAGAATGGATGAGTTATGAAGCCAATGCAGAGGACTGTGATTATTGCAAAATGTTATATTATCATGTGTTATTTATGTAGGTTATGAACCATATTATGATACATGTTATATAATCTTGGTTGTGATGTTTGTGTATATATGCATAACATGATTAAAACCTTGTGAAGATGTGTGAGGAAACCTAGGATTATAACTAGGTAAATGAACTAGAAAGATAACTTAGGTTACGAATATGACTTAGATAACATTAGACGGAGACGGTTATTCGATATGATACCCAGGTGAGTATCATTGATGAATGATCACCATGGTTGAGAGTGAGATGCCTTGTATGGAACATGTTGTATTGTTGTGTGATTAAGGTGAATGTGATCACCTTGTGATTGTCGAATACAATCATGTTATGCTTCTATCTAATCATATAGTAGGAAACAAACCCTTGATTGTTCCGTTCCAAGTTGCGATGCTTATATAGAGTAAGAATTGGGATAGATGCACATACACTTGAATGACTTGGGTTTGAATCCTAAAGGCGGTGGATCCCAAAGTTGGGTGAGTCCCATGTGAGTAAAAGGCTTGAAATAAGTTTGGAGTCCCATACGAAGCGACGATTCTTGAGGTGGATGTTATCCCTTGGAATATGAAGTTTATGCGCGTGTCAAAGTATGATACAAGGATTCGTGATCCGTGTTGAGAATACTAGACGTAGGGTTGGACGAGGAAAGATGCATTGGTATGGTTTCCAATTAGTGATTATTTTAGTTGATGAATTCAAGAGACATGTTTCCATACATTGTAAGTTTTGTGTACTCAAGTCTTTTCCCCTTTATGACTTGAGTTAGGATTTGATTAATACCTTGTAGAGCTGAGTTGACCCATAAGATAGGGAACTCACTGAGATTATTATCTCACCCCAATATTGTTGTTGCTTTTCATGTACTATTTTGCAGGTTATATTCCAAGAGGAGCTATGCATTGATGTTTCAAGGGATGTTGATTATTGTGATCTTTCGTTGTAGAGTTGTGTATAATGAAGATGTTGTACATAGTTCTTATATTTTATTCTTACGCTTTATTGTATAACATATATCTTTGATGTTTTTAGTTTGGACATGTGTATATAACGATGCCATTAGTATAACTTAGAATACAAAACATATTTTCTATTATAAGTTCTTCCTCATTTCTCACTAAAATGGAGAGAAAATGAAGAGGTGATATTGTTTGCAAGTCTTCTTCACTTGCATGCAATGTTCATCCATATCCCTTACATCAATTTTAAGGAGAAACCAATAATCGTTGGAGGAGAAAGTATATCTCAAGACAAAGTGTTACTGGTAAACAGGAATGAAGGAGAAATAAGGAAGTTCCTTGGCTTCAAGTAGGATACGAAATTTGGAAGGTCAATAAGGAGATTAAAGATGGTCTTACATGTGGATAAAATAAGAAGGGAAGATCATCATCATCTTAAATTTCCAAGGAGGGTTTCCCCTCTCATAGGTTATGATCATGATGTAACCAATAATGTTGCACATGCATGTGGTAATCTAGGTACCTTAAGGATTATAAGAATATGCATGATAGAATCCTAGAATGGGTATGATTAGATGATGATAATGATATAATAATTACATGGTATGATTTAGGATCTTTTAATGTGTTACGTTATATAAAATATGTGTTTTCATGTGTTAATTGTTGATATGAACATGTTTAGATGATCAAAATTATTTGATAAGATTATGGTATGATAAGATACGGGAATTCTATTGAAAAATAACTAAAATTGGATTTCTGA